CTATAATTTTCATAAACACCATTAGGTCTATAGTTGTACTGATTAAATGGTACGAAAAAAGTGTTTCCGGTGATACAATATGGAACAATTTCTATGGATATAAAATTAATTAATTTGGCCTGATTTTCAACTTAAAACATGATTACAGAAGTATTTCGTCCTTGTAACCATTCACATTTGATTTATTTTATCTGAAAAAAATCTTGAAAAAAGGGCTAAGATTAAGTGCAGAGAACCATCGAAATGTTGTTTCATGCCTGCAGATTGTTTAACCTAAAGATCTTTTCTGTTTTAAACTACAGGCATGGTTATAACATACAAGACTTTCCTTTTGAATAGAAAATAAACAGGAGATGGTGATTCATGATCCACACGCGATTCAGAACTGATCTGATCTGATCTGATTCATAGCATGAAATACCTACCGTATAACAGCTCACTTTTTGTTGTCATGTCCGACCGTCTTTCAGACCGCTAGCAGCAGCACACACAGAATCTTATCGAGCGATTAAGCTAGCTACTGTTGGCTTACATCCCATCTGTCCACCAGTTTAGATTCTGATTAATTCTTGTTCATTTAGGCATCATTTTTACTACAGATTATGCATAAACTCTTGCCCGTTATCGCACGTCTTTTGACAGAGTTCTATAAATTGCGATGTACACGAATTTCAGTCCAGTGGAAACTGCGGGTATCACGTAGACTTTCACATAAAGTGATTCGGCGCATCTGCGGTAACCAAAAAATTAACTATCCGATAATGAGAAAGACCCTTGACACGGAGCGTAATCCTCTGAGGACAGCGCTGGTCAATTACTGAGTAGACCGCAAAGTTGAGCCGGCGGTACACGTGCCTTGTACAATGGCGAGCTGTAAGGGGTGCGCATACCTTGCTCAGCAGGGAGCCGCCTAAATGGATCATTATGTGCACCCGCAATGAATAACAAGCAGCTACGTATCAGATACGTTTCAACAAAACTGGCTGCAATGCCATCATTATTTTCAGCCGCTAGGAAAGTTTGTTCTGTCAAGGAACGAAATTCACAGGCCTATAACCAACTTGAAAATGTTTCCTTTTGGTCTTTTTTCCCCTCCACATTTTTATGTCATTTGTTAACAAAGGCGTTTAGTGTCAACGTTTCCCCTGAACTGTGTGGATGACACGTTAAAACTGGGTTCAAGGCACAATATTTGCCTCTCTTCTATCCCGATCAAAGTAAGTGACTTTCCTCTTGTGTAGTCTGTTTTACATTTGCAAGTTCCCTACGCCAAGCTAAACTGTCTACTACTCTCGAATGTTTACAAAGTTGTGAACAAATCTGCGAAAAATGTGAATATAATATTTCATACCTAGGAAATTCATGCAAACGATTCATTTTAAATTATTGGTGTATAAGCTTCAACTTTGTGGTTAAAAGAGTTAAACAAAAGAAGTGACTAAAATAGAAAGACGTGATGAAAGAAAATGGAAGAATACGTTAATAAGTATGAATCCGGTGAGTGTATTTGGCCAAGTAGTTACAAGCCCTTCTTTCTAATCGTATCATGGGCCTGTTAAAATCCGTGTGAATGCGTGACGGCTGGCGAACTGCGGGTGCTAGCGACACACGTCATCGGACTGACACCCAGCCAACATTCTTTCGCCCCGAGGTCATTTCGCGGAGTCACACGCGCTCTGTCTGCATATGATATATGTTCAAGCCGTCAAATCAGAATATTTTATTTGGTTAAATTAAAAGCAGATTCGCGAATGAGTCAGTATGAAGTATGAGAGTAGTTTCATGCGCTGGAGCTAGAGCGAACTATGTCCAAGTTGTGTCTCTAATGGTTTAGAATAGCTGTTTTCAAAATCTTTTAGTCTGAGGCTCCCTTCATGTGATTATGAAAGTCAGAGCCCGGTTAAATCTATTGCTATGTTTAAAATGTGATTTATCAATTTAGAAAAATAAATAATAATAAACCTTTATGATGAGGTCTATCTATAAAGAACTTTTTCCACAAAATCGTAAGTTTGAAACTTAGTAACTGCTTTGTTAGTAATTTATATGTATAATTAAGCTATTATTAATTGTCCCAACAAAAGTTCAAGTTTCCCTGGGTGGAAGTTGCTCCCACTTTGGAAAACGTTGGTTTTAGAACACTTTAAGACCCCTTTGATATAAAAGTTACGACTAGAAATTTACTGAAATATGTTAAATATATTTTCCGTTTTTCTGGCTGAAGGTGGTGTGGCTGGCTCTCCACAATTTTCACCTACATTTTCATAACACTCACCTTCGTCATACCATCAAAACAAATATTGTATTGGTTTGAATTCAATTGTTAGAATAAAGGTGTTAGTCCTAAGACTTACTCCTTTTGTTCTAGCTCGTTGATAACCAAATATCAGACAGGAAACAAATTTGTAACAAACTCGTTTCTCTTTCACCGTGACTCACTGGTCGTTTATCTGTCTTCTGAAAGGCGAGTCGGAGGAAAAGACGAGCTACCAACATGATCCATTCTTTATGTCTATTGCGGTGTTCTGAACATTATCAACAGCCTCTGAACTTACAGGTAGTGCAGGCGTTTTGGAAGAAGACAATGCCTCCATCTTTAGAGCTGTGATGGAGGTAATTATGTTCCCTCGAAACGTTGATACTCACCTGTAAGTTCACACAGTGTCACAAACCATCATCGACATCTTCATGACAGCAGAAACCTCAGGTCTCAAGGGCACTTTGTGTGCACACTTTGGTTAACTGTGTTTATGGTTATTAAGAAACCGTTTTTTTAACAAATTCTAGCAAAATATATTCATTATTTTAAACATTCTTTGTCATACTGTATCCGTTTCATATTCATTAACTGCATGATTATCTGCCATCTTGAGACGATTTTTACCTATAAACACGCTTCTGTACAGAACCAATAAAGTTAAACTCTTCAGAAATCGCTCGTCTTTTGACCACACTTTCGAAGAAACTTTTTCGACGTTTTGTAATGCAATATAAAACAATAGCAAGCCTACAATATTTCGAAACGGGTCAAACGCTTGCTAGATCTAACGCAGAAGATCATATTGAATTGGAATGAACCAAAACATGTCATTTTGTAACAGATAACAGTATCGATAAATCGACGTCAGAGGAGAGCCCCACTTCCACGAACAAACGCGTGTAACCATTAGCATCATTACGGCACTTGTATTCATACACTATGAGATGATAAATAATTGGGAGGTACAGTGCACAAAGTATTACGCATCAGCTTGTTACTGCAGACACAGAGCGTCGGTTTATATAAAAAAGTGTCAGTTCCCGCACCCCCCCTGTTTTCAAGGCACGTGCTTTCCAAAGAATAGAAATAAAATAGGACGTCGGTCGACTGCTTGAATTGGGTGTAACTAACCCCTTGTATATTATGCTTTGTTTTGTTAACACTTCCTTATTGTGTGGGGACATGTTGCTTACTTGGATTTTTTAACGATCATTACGATTTACTGTGCGTCAGAGTTGTAGAACATTAACATTTTGACTTTGTGCTTGAGATATCGACGTTGAACTGCAGCCACAATAACAAGTTAATAGCGTTACGTCTTTCCACATACGTTTCACTACGCATTTGCATTCCTTAAGCATGTACATCCACTGCAATCCCAATAACATTTCCAGCCAGTCCTAAGCCTCTTGATATTACAAGGACATTCATGTAACACTCGATGGAATGGTTAACATTTAAAATAGGAGAGAGTCTAGAATCTTACGGCAACCAGACTTTTCGCAATAGTTTACATACTTCTTCCATCAACAAGGTGAAGAGTGGTGAGTCACAATGACGATACAGACAGTAAGTCCCTGTACACAGTCGGTCAGTGTCTACCACATTACATGGTTCAACATTATAGAAAACATCTATTTTGAGTATTTATAATAGTTAATAGATTTTATTCTGTTCTGTATTCAAGAAATCAGAACTTCCTCATCCGTAGTTAGTGTAAACCCTTCCCTGTTGTGTGAAACGCGCTAATTAATCCGCACTATGCACCAAATATTATCAGGGTCACCAACTCAAAAAGAATGTGATTGGCGGGACATGTAGCATAAAAGGGTGAAACATTAATCGGCTTAGGCTGCTCAATTTTAGTCGGAAAACCTGAAGGAAATATACCACTCTGAGGGACTTTACCCGTAGATACGAGTACAATATTAAAAAGGATGCAAAAATATGGACTACATTAAACCGACTCAGGATAGGGTCCAGTGGCGGTCTCGTGTGAACAAGGCAATAAACTTTGTATTCCAGAAAAGTCGAGTTCTCTCACCAGCTGAGGAACTGATTCCCCTAAATGTCGAATATTTTCCACTAAGATGACACAACAGTGAAAGCCGCTTACTGCAAATCAATCGCTTCGTGAGAAGACTACAGCTATAACCCATCGAGAGATTAGCACTTTCTCTCATCCTTATTAAGTAAGGGGAAGATGGAAAGTCAATTATGTCGCTTAATGCTCGGCCAGTACTAATAATGTGAAGTTCCCTTTATAGTGCGGTATATAAGTTCCTGCGGACGGGGGCGCTGAATGAGTCAGTGCATAGACGCGACTTGACGACTCGGGGTTTATGACCAGCAGCATGGGTTGTGGCAGTACAGGCACTCCGTACGTTTCGTAATTAAAATCCCGGGCATGCGCTTCTTGTTTGTCATTCGACTAGATGGAATTAACAGATGAATTGATGGACGGACGGGTGAGTAAATGAATGAATGAATGAATGAATATAAGAACTGATTAAAATATGGATGAATGCGCCATGTTTTCCGAATCCCCTGAAACTATCCGATATATAGCTATATATATGATTTTCCAGACAAGCAATAGAATACAATGCGTATAGGAGGGCCGGAACGTGAAACAAACCGCCGCCTCCATCCTGTTCTGAAGTCTACGACGTACAGAGATTTACGTCCTCGTGGCGCGACCCTTCAACACAGCTACAGAACTGTTTCGTTGTGTGTGTAGGTCTGGTTCCAAAACCGACGCGCAAAGTGGCGGAAGACCGAGAAGTGCTGGGGACGAAGCACCATCATGGCAGAGTACGGACTGTATGGTGCCATGGTGCGCCACTCTCTGCCACTCCCGGAGACCATCCTGAAGAGCGCCAAGGAAAGCAACGAGTGCGTGGCGCCATGGCTCCTAGGTAGGGAAACACCCACACCATGATTGTGTTTCTTGCAGTGAGTATTAGCAAACAACTTTCATAGCACGCGGAGCTTAAGGCACTGTGTGTACTTCATTGGGCGAATAAATAAAATCTGAAACATATACTGCACACGGAAAACAAAAGAGTTGTATTGGTAAAACCTCTTGGGTGATCTACACGTACGAGTAAGTGCGAGGATATTACAAAAGTGGTTATCATCTTCATGGATTGGTAGGCCTGGGATCAAATTATGCATCATATGGAATAAAGACAAGATAAATGTTTACTCTCTCGATTGTGAATCGCCCTGCAACTATGAATTTGATCCTACGACAGAACGTAGACCCTACAATTATTAGTGGTGTTCATTTGTTTTACGTTCTGATGCTGGAGAACATAGTTAAGTGTAAAGATACCAACTGAATTGGCAACATAAGTTGCAGGTTAATGAATGACTCAAACCGTATATAATACGTGCAGATTTAAGTATAGAGACGTGTGCATGATGATTGAATATAGCAACCAAATTATAGGCCTAAATAAAGGAAATTATTAAAGTAATTTAACTTATTTAAAGTGACACAGACTATCATAGACCATGCAATATTTAAATTGGGGGTTGTATGAATCTAATGATATGAAGAATAAATACTTCGATGTTAAATGCCCCCCACCAAACACACTTAATTTAGTCCAGCAATAAACAGACTTCAAGACCAATCAGATAAGTTATGATAAATCGCAATTGAACGCATCTGAAAAGAAGGCAAGTGTACGCCAATTGCAAAACGAGTAGACAAAAGTCCGCCTATTTTATAGAAGCCTCCGAAAAATTGTATGTGGCCTATGTAGATCATTCTGAACAGAAGTTAATAGACTCAGTCAATACAGTGACTGGCTACGGACTGGACGACCGGGGTTCGATCCCCGACGGAGGCAGAGTACTTTTCCCTTAGTCCCTGCGTCCAGGCCGGTTCTGGGGCCCACCCAGCCTCCTTTCCAATGGGTGCCGAGGTTCTTTCCCGGGGGTAAAGCGCGGCCGGGGCGTGATTCTGACCACTCAGCCCCATCTAGTGCCGAGGTCTAGAATGAGTAGGAGCTATACCATCTTTCCCCCCAAGCGCCTACATGGCGTATAGTGGGACAGCTTTACTTTAATAGACTGAATCTTTCTATGTATGTGCAGTGCCTGATGTAAAGCAGTGCTGTGGACTGACTACAGTTAGTGTGGTTCGCTTACTCTTACGCCCAAAAAAGAATTCTGTCCGCAGATTGTTGGTGAAGAAATAATCGTAATTAATCAACACACCATAAATAATTTTAAAAGCCACTTATTTTTTCTATTGCAGTAAGTTTAGAGTTTTTATTACCTAAAATAACACGTAAATGTACATTTTTAAAGTAGGCTTATGTCACAAAGGAAAATAATATTATAGAACGAGCAGCTTCATAGGCTACTTTGCAATCATAATAAAATATTATAGTCCAATCATGTCAAGAAAGATGGGGGCTAAATTCATAACATATATACGTATGGACTGGATTTATCTGCATCTGAGTAAGGTCAGGTGGCAGGCTCTTTCGAACATTTTATTATTTTATTTAGTGTTCTGTGTGACGACAGGTCCATATGAACAGTATCCTTCCATCCTTTTCTCGGACTGGGACCTGTTCATATACGTTCTTGGCAGATGATCCAGAAGTTGTTTGCCATTGCCTTCTTCTGTGTGTGAATAATTGTTGGGATGCCACGGAGAAACCGGGGAAGCCCCCGGAGGAAAACTCCGTGTTGCCTAGACCACGGCCTTGCCCAACATAAGTTATAAATTCGGGCACCGTCGGGAATCGAACCCGAGACACCAGGATTACAAGGCCAGCGTTCTAACCGCTAGACCATAAATGACGGGAATTTCTTGACCATCTGAACTGCTATTACTTTCCTAAGAATGACTCTGTAGTAGGTCTCTGGACCATGCAATTTATTTATAAGATGGCTCATAAATTAAACAAATTTGGCATTGAGACAAAAATAAAAACCATCGTTTTACTTAAATTTGACGTTGTGTAGACTTCACAAAAGACAACGGCCTACGGAATCATAATATTTTGTTTCCAGGTAACGGAGTTAGGTTATGCAATAAAAATATTCTACATTTAAAATCAATAATTCACAAAGATTTAGAATAAGTCTTAGTTGTAACTCTTTCTAGGCGTAATACTTTCAAACTGCCTGCACCATTTTATTGGCTGCTGCATGATGGGTTATTTATTTTAACCGTTGTTCCTTCACGCATCACGTAGCGTGTTCTTCCTCAGGATTCCACTTGCCTATAATAGGTCTACACAGAACTCCGTGGTGTATTTTACAGAGATAATGACCTCATTTGTGAGACTGTATCAAAATATGCCCTTACTCGTATTTAAACTGGTGTCCCTCGACAGCAAAACATAAGCGAAACTTCTAAGCATTTCCACAATCTTAAACCATCACACAAACGGTTTATTTGGTTTGAATGTGAATTTAACACAGGTATGCCTATAACATTCTTTGGAACAATGTTCTTCGTTTCTCCCTCCACTTCTCTCTGGATCTGCTCTGGTTGTTAGAGATCAATAATAGGTTTTATGGTGAAAAAGCGATCTATGTACGCCGCTGTTTCGTTGCTTGGCAACCGTTTAACTCATGAAGCCATCAGTATGCGGCGCCAAAGTGCTCAATAACAGAATAACTCATTGGTCAACAGGAGGAATATGTATTCATAAGACTGTCGTAATAAATTAGCAATTTCGCTTTTTTCGGTACAGTATATGCTCCATTCATCACCCATCCTCACAACCTAGCAGTATGATATTTGGCATTCTCACGGCAGTGAAGTTGTTGATGTTGGTCTTCTGGGTTGTAGCGCTGTGTGGACTAGCATGTAGATACGAACGTTTCTGAAGAAAATATTGCCTCTATATTCAAGGCTTCGAAGCGCTGGTCCACACAGCGCTACTACACAGAAGACCAGCACCAATGGTTTAGTACTGTCAATACAGATGGAGATACGCGGTGATGAGCATCACCTAACACTTTCCAAGACGTTTCCTCGCCATAATTGTACATTATTTCTTGTCCTCCACATTCGAGCTACGTATCCTACCTTGATTTGCTACCTTACCAACAACAATGACCTATGACCTATGTAAACACGTAGGGTCTCCTGACGTAATATTCACATTTCCCCAGTCATCTCAACCTCTTAGGTCCAATATTTCACTTTGTTCTTCAAGAATAATTTATACTTACTGAAATGCCTTATATGTATGTTATCGTAAATGCTAAACAGTATTTTACCGTATACAGTTCGTCTAAGATGTGAAACATAAAAGCATAGAAGAGAAACCATATACGATTCGTCTATCATATAAAGTTTTCTGTGAGAATACGGTGAAAAATATTTAAAACAAGTGTTTGGCCTAGGGATCATAGTAGTAGGAAAATATCAGGTGCTGGTCAAATGCAAAGAAACATTTACAAAAGCATACTGCTGACGAAGTGGACGACAAGAATCCAGAATGGTGAGAATATTCGTTCCCACGAGGGAGAAAGTAACGGGACACTGGAGAAAATTAATTAACTTTCACGATAAACAGCTTCGTAATTTGTACTGTTCTCTTCGCCACATATTATTAGGATGACCAGATGGAGAAGTATGTAGCACGCACGAAAAATATAACATATATAGGCCTAATACAAGAATTCATTATTATATTAGAGCTTATTTGAAGGGAAGATACCGCTTGGGAAACTTGTGCGCAGATGCAAGAATACTATATTAATATATACCGTACACGAAGAAGTATGTGAGGATAGGATTGGATCCATCTGGCTCAAGACAGAGTCCAACGGCGAGCTTTTGTGATCACGATTTTGAAAATTCGTGTATCATAAAACACGAGCGACTATTACCTCTTCGAGGAGTGTGCTGCATTCGGTGAGATTATTGGCATACATATTGTGATGGGAAAGATACATTCGCGAATATCTGTGCACACGCATGCGCTGTACTGAGAGAAGGATGGTAATATGGCCTTGTTTAGCTGAGTCTACGTTTGGGTCTACCGCTGATAACGGCACAAGGGAAAAGACAGAGTGCATTGTGGGAGCGAGGGAGAGGAAGACAGGCAGCCATTACTAATAGCACCATCATTTTTACTTTCTCCCCGCCCGAGAACTCGACGACATATTTGTGGTCCAGAATACGCCTCCTTTAGATGCATGGTTACGGGTGGTTTGGGATGCTGGGAGGAGGGGAAGCACCATCTAATGCTAATATGTGTGGATGCTGAGATGGTAACGGAGGATTCAGGGGGCAACAGAACGATAGTAATAAATTGAAACTTTTTTATTTTTACGTCGCCCAGATTTCAAAGCATATGCGGCACTCATTTTTATCTGTGCGTACCTGAATGGCATTTAATATGGGTTGTAGAAATAACTGGTTTAAAACACACACACAGACCTAAGTAGCGTGCAAAAAATATCTCATGTCCTATACGAGCAGATAACCACTCTGTAACAGCATTTGAAAGGAACCCGGTTCGAATCTCGGCAGGGATATCGGCTATAAATAGGTTTCGTGTTCTTTCTTAATTTTTCCAGACGAATTTCAACACAGCCCCTTTAAATAGGCCGAAAACGCCTCCTCGTGTGTGAAGAGCGAAATATCTCTGTACACGACATTTGATCTACGAAGCCCACTTATTTCGTATATGACGCGTACGCTGGTAAAATGTACATAAATTTAATTCTATCCCAGGAACGTACTAAGGCTTACCGAATGATACTGTTTCGCTTATCCACTTGTCTCTACGTATGAAACAACTCAAAAACGGATGAGCGTATTTTCATGAAATTTCATATTCGGCAGCTAAACTAAAAAATTTCGATAAATTCCAATTATGATTAAAATCGGACAAGAATAACGGGTACGTTATTTGAATGCCTCATTTCTTTTTGAAAGCCGAAGTGCCTGGATGGGTAATACGCAGGCTTACTTGGTTAGATACATGATTACTAGTTGAAGATCAAATTTTGGCGAATGCACCAGAATTGTTACGCTATGCATATATATCCAAACCTGTTTAATATGAAAGTAGATTATTACATATATTTACCACTGTGTTTCAAAGGCCTAAACACACCGATCAGGGTTAACAGACCGTGCTGACAATCCTTCCACGCATAAAAGGCACTGGTCACACGCGCATTGATTGGTTATATTCGTGACAACATGCGGATTCAGATCATAAACGGGCATTAATTTTCGCTGGCGTAACAAACGTGTAAATATTCGTAGCCTCAGAACTTTACTTGGATTTTCTTGCTAAAGCTACAAAGCTGTTCATCACATTACAATTCCACTCTTTCTTCAAATAAACTACACGTCTTCCTATTCCTCATTCACGACATCTCTCGATATCCTAAGAATCAGGTCAAGTTTCACGTGACACGTAGTCTAATTTAATCTTTAGCGATGATTCTTGCACCGACATTTTTTTACAGATTTGCAAGTGATTCAGTACGAAACTTTAATTTTTTGTTTTGTAAAACATTTAATTTTAAAAGCTCCAAGAGTTTTGAATATTCTTTCATGCAGTCTACATTGCTAATACTACTTATTACTTCATATCTATTTGTTAAGAAACTCTGAAGTTACTTTCTTACTTTAGATATTTCCATGATTTAACTAGAAACGATAACTAAAGAAACTTCTAGCAATAAAGATCTTTCTGAAAATCTACTATTTGCTCAACCGGTCAGAACATTTCCCGCCTCTTATGAAACACTAAAGCTTATTACCGTATTCACAAGATTTATCTGTTCTGAGTCAGATAAATCCACTCCACATCTTATTTTTAAGACAGAAAATTTTAATAGTATTTCATTATACCCCGTCTACGTCTAGGCCTCATAAGTGATCTCTTCTCTTCATGTAACGGGTTCTCTCGGGTTTCGTAGAATGTGAGTAAAATATTGACCAGCTGCGTGACTGTCAGTTTCTTAAGAACTCTGCTCCGTAGGTTTAGTTCAATAATGATTTCGCAGTTACCACATGGAAAGGAGATATAGGTATAAAAAAGGAATTATTAAAACTTCCTATTATCTTCTTTTAATTTATAATCTTATCTACTTTGTATAGGAATGCACCGAAAATCGATAGAAGCCGCTGAACAACTGAAAGACGACGGCTGTGGCTCAGATAAGGAGGACCAACACGAAACTTCTTCCATGACAACAGACAAGAGTGACAACAGCACAAACAACTCTTCGTCACAACAGCAGCAACAGCCACAGTTGAACCAGAGCGCCGCAGAGAATAACAACAAAGAAATCCATCAACATCAACTTCGACTACAGGAGCTTCAACATCAAATCGACCATCAGAATCAGCAGTCGTCTGCCCTCCAGCTTGCACACGCGACAGATCCGGAGGAGTTTCGTAACAACAGCATCGCGTGTCTGCGCGCCAAAGCACAGGAACATAGTGCAAAAATTCTTAGTCTTAGTGCAGACGCTGTGATGCTGGTGAATAGGGGTAGGAACGGAACGACGTCCGCGGTTAACAGCGTGACGACTGCTTCGACGGCGCCTCACTGCGACGCCAATGCCAACAGTCTAACGGGTCGTCAGCATCAAGGAGATGTGATTCTTACTTCGTCAGATACATCATCGTCCATGTTCTGACAGCGAACTGGGGAAGACTGAGGCGAGCTACGTACACTTTAAAATAGTCGTCTTAACGTATTTTTGTACCTACACATTCTAAAAATGTCATTAAATACCCACTCTCAGTTCGATAATAAATAAATGCAGCGATCAAATATCTCCAACACAAATCGGAGTTTAAAGCTACACGGTGCAATAAATTTACTTATATGAGACAAGGAACTCAAACATATTGTATTTTATCAGTTGGGGCTCTCTTAAATTTCAGAATCAACATTTGTTTTGTGTAGAAAATTATTACAGTTCTCCGTATATTGTAACTAAAATTAATAAAAGTATTGCGCGCCATAGGTTTAAAACACTTCTCCATTGCTACATATTCCAATTTTGTATCATGTCACACTAAACATACGAGTGAAATCTGCTTAAATGGTCATGCACTATGTTGGATATTAGTTTATACACTGAAAGTGTTTGCAGAAAGAACATTGGAATTTATAATGACTTCAGGGCCGCGATTAGATTTTGTTTAGGATTCCAGGGAGATTGAAGTTTACGAACTCCTGTCTTTAAAACGCGCCCACTGCTGTCTCTGTAACACTAAATAACAGAGTGAGTTCTGATGTATAAAAAAAACACACTTGCACCCTAAATAATTCAGTCGTTCCTCAGTTAAAATAATTACACATAGAGCCTGTTTCACACGACACATTCGGTATAGCAACATAGCCGTGGATCTTTCTACCATAACTATGTTACGCTTCAAATATAAATCGCCATCTTCTCAAGAAAATATTTATGTGCAAAGGAGGGGCCTTATCTTCAGTGTCATACGAAAGAATTCTGGAAGACAAAAGCATGAGTAAGATTATAGCAGGTGTTAACAAACTGACTTCTAACAGAGCGCATTGCTTTCGGCTAGATAGGACGCGTTTTGGTGACTGAAGAAAGAATAACCTAAAATAGTCACTACTGCTTGGCTGGTACATCGAAATTAGTCGACATGAAAATTAGAGTTGTGGTCTCTTGTTATAATGAAAGGGCATAAGACCATAGCAATAGTATTTAGTTTCTGTGAAGTATGTGGATAACTTGTAAGAAAAGCTACTGAAGAGATGTTTCCTGAATAAAATTCCCGGGAGCTTTTTATTGCAATTAATCCCCCAAAGAGGGGCATATATGTGGTTCAAGACATCACAAAAATGGAACAGCCCCTCTTTCATGGGCAAAGATCTCCGGAACAAGATGGCATGTCAATTTACAGAACAAGGAAAACACGAACCGTGGGAAAAAAACATTTACTTCTACAAATTTAAAAAGGTATGATTAAAAATTAATAATTTCCTATAATAATAAAATAATGATTCACGTGGTCCATCGAAACGACAATGACGAGAGGACAACATATCGAATACTCAGTTTGAATCCCGCCTTAAATTGGCATCGAGTCTGATAATACCAATTCGCCTTTACTAATGAACGTAAAGTCGTGGTGGCCTTCGTTCGTCTGACGCGCACAGCAAATTGCTAATTAGGGCAGTGCTCAACATGTTCGATCCGGAGAAAGTCACGATGTTAATTTTCTTTCGCCTCTGTGTTTCACATGACCTGCAAAGCGCCATAGTTCTGTGTTTTACACGAGAATTAATACTGTGACACAAATATATCTAGATATAAATAATCACATCTTGGCCAACATTATGCCTTTTACTGATAGGCTAGAAGACGCAATGACGTTTTTAAATCAAATACGGTGATCTTTCTACACATTTTTTAAAAATATAGAAATGCTTCCTTAAGATAGTTACCCGAAAATAATCAGTAAAGTCCATTCATATTCAAAACACTCTAAGCACAAAGAGACGAAAGTTGGGCCTACTTAACATTTGTGCCCTTTGCAAAGATCACAAACACCAAGTGTTGCGCTCAGGTCCACACAACGCTTGCTTTCACAAAAACGAAATTTTTAAATTCCTGCATTAAAAATAATGATGTTCATGTCATTACACCAGTAGCATAGCTGTCCATACATGCATGTGCATAGTGAAAAGTGGCATTCGTCCCTAACAGACGGCAAAAAGTACGCAGTAGGTGTATTTAAAAGTTTGCAGTCGAAATTTTGAAATAAACCAATACAAATTATGCCAAATTCATAAACAAATTAAACGATTTCCACTTTTTGACCCTTTTCTCCACCCTACAGCTTTTCTACTCAGAAATTTTTAAGACTATCACTTTGCTTCTCACTTTTCTTCCTGTCTGCCTTTATTCTCCGTCTGACTAAGCACTCTTTCTGTTACCTACGTTAAAATTTCTTGTCGATAATTCCGTCAATGCCTTAAAATAGATGAGTAACCAGCTCCAATAGTAACATTTTTGAGATCACTTATTTCGCCATGTATTATCCGATTACTTCGTAGAATTTATCGAAAGGAACTGAATGATTATTAAATGGACTTTCTGAGGTACTAGTGTGGGGCAATAGATCCATTTGTGACTGTAACAAACAGCAACTGAACACCAGACTATTTTTTTCTTATTTTATATAGGTACATCTGCTAGATAAAAAATATGGTGGCTTTTGAGAAATGTGACTTTAATTTACTGATACAAATACCATACGAACGTGAATTCTTAGTTAAAATACGTTAAGATATAAGCCTATGTGATTACAAGCAAACGAGTAGTCATATTTAAATGGTGTGGTCAATAGGGTAATGCATAAACTCTCTCGAAGAATATCATACGCTAACTACCAGTACTTCATGGCCATAAATCATAACCTGTAAACACAGCGCTAATTTCCACATATGAGACATTCGGATTTATTAATTATATCGGATCACAGGAACACCGTGTCAGAATAAATTTTAAAAATAAACATAATTTATATGTATGTAAAAATAAATATTTGTTATACAGAACTATGTTTAATTTTTCTCTTAAACTCTGATATTACAGTGATTTCTATTGCTCACATCTGTGTTTTTGATCGAGAAATTAATCTCTGAGACCTACAAATTAATTCCTCAAACATAAATTATAATCCTAGCAACATATGCACTTTATCGGGTATTATAATACTTCCGAAGTTGTTTTAACACAACAACTTTTCTAGTTTAATACAATTTCTATTTTTTCCAGTAGACTAGCTATCAAGACAAACATCGTACTTCGTTTTCCGGCTCTGACTTAGATTTGTAGTGATGCCGTTGGTTTAAGAACTAAACTGAAGTATGTATAGGGCATATAAATAAGTACAGGATATTTTTAATGTTAATTATATTTTATTTTACAGTTCTGAGGGAGAATGTCGCGTGTATGTGCGTGCAATTCATTTATAAGTGTATATAATGGTTATATTTGGAGAAAAAACCTAAATTGGGTTTTCGATGTACAGTATATTATAGTGCGTGGACTCGTTCTGGTTTTTCAGTATTTATGTCAATATAGTCCATAGTGGAGTGTTGATTAACAGGGCATGTCAGTTGCGTCTAGCACGTTGGGTCATAGGTTTTAAATGTCATTCCTCTTATTCACGAAAAGAATCATGTCGCTACTACTACTGCTATTACTACTTAATCGACACTAGGGCTTAAAACGAAAGTGGGAACTTCTTTTGAATGAAAAATTTCTATAAAAATATTTAAGTAATAAATATAACTTTAAAAATTGCACTTCAAATTTATCATCTTTGAGAAAATGCTTTATCTTCCTGATCTGCTTCCTGTGAGATGACGAAGTATCCGCTAAAATCTCGCACTATTCTCTGACCTATGTCCATCTCTCAGTCTGTAATAAAGACAATTCGAACAGAAAATCTCCAATTGAGATTCAGACGCATGTCACAATTTGAAAGTCATACATTTATACTAATGTAAATCCAAAGACATTCATACAGTCATGTAAAATAATGGGTGTAAAATTGGTTGAAAACTTTGGTGCAGCTAAATTTAAATTAATGGGTCAAAGTGAAATATTTTACAAACTGAATCTCTGATAAACCAGATTAAAAGTTATGCAGAATTAAGAAGCAGGCATCCATTAGAGAAAGAAGTAAACCAGACATGAAGAACAATAAAGCATTTCAGTGGTTAAGAGAATTAGCGCTCATAAATTTCCAGTAATATATTTAATTTTGTAGATTTTTAATGTCCTTATTCTAACAATTGTAGGGAGTTCATAGCTTATAAATGAGTATAAGAGTTCCTTCTAGCCACAATATAATCCCAAAAGAAACATCGAAACACGAACAAAATTCACCTGCGATGTAGGATAAATAAAACGTTATTTTGATTATCCTATCCGCTGTATTATTTTATACACGATTTTAAGGTTTATACGTAACTATTGTCCACGGTACAATATGCATCTTTTGTCTTAAAATATTGATGAAATCACAGCAGAATTCTTCCACAGTTGTTTGGTAAAATTAGCTGTACAATGTGTTGTTCACATTTTATGCTATTCGTACTCATAAAACATTTGAAATTCTGCGCTGTAACACAACAATGGAAACCAAAGTTTAACTAAGAATGTAACATGATTATTACGAAAGTCGGTATTGAACAAATCAACTACGAGTCAATTACTTATAAGAAATGTAATGTCCCTTTCTCTCATCCTCTTTTATCAGTAGGTGTCGAGGTTTATTTATTCATTTTATTGATCTGTTTTGGACAATGGTAGGACTCCTTGGATGAGTGATCAGCCCGACATAAGGCCTCTACCTATACAAACACAGAAAGACGCGGATAAACATCCATGCCTTGAGTGGGACTCGAACCCACGGTCGCAGCAGTCAGGCGCACGAGGTCCATGCCTCAGACCGCGTGGCTACTGCGGCCGGCGAAATGTAATGTAACAAAATATATTTGGTAAGTAATTTTGGATACTACACAGGATTAGATCCGGGTGAGTGTGTATTACACGCATACAGGTAATTATTATCAGAGGTAACGTGCTATTTGTGCCGAATATTCATTTATTGCCGATACATATTTATTACTGAGAAACTAATAAACGGAATGAAAATTACACACTCCAGACATGCTTATTAATATTGCCCATATTTAATTAAATATTTATTAAATAATAAAGAAAATGCAACTTAAACGTTTTAGATCTTAATAAGGTATTAAATTCATGTACCAGTTTTTACTACGTGAGATTTAACATTTTTATTGAAATTTAAATAGGTTGATTTATTTATTTATTCCTGCTCGAAGTCGAGTTTATACTAGACCTACACAGACCAAT